ACCCCCCCCCAAAAAAAAAGAAAGAAAAAACAACACCACCATACTTATATACTTACACGACGTAAAGGTTGACCGTTTCTTTAAAATTCAGAAGGAGATATACAAAACGATGCCCATTAATACAAATTTTCGTCATTAATGAGGAGTATTAATATTCAACCATCCTTTCCAGCGCAGTTCAGTAGGAGATGCAAAATTATGGAAATTGATCTAATTAATCATTTGCCGTCAACCATGTCATATTACAAGGGAAATACCTCGTGGAACCTGGAGAAGAACCAGAGAAATCGATGTACAGAAAAGTGGGAAGACATGGAATAACATCAAAAGGCTAGCCCATAATAGAAAAAGGTGGCAAGTGTTTTTTTCCGAGGCCAATATCCTGGTGCAGGGTGAGAAAGGCAATGATGATGATGATGAAGATGATGATGATGATGTCATAATATTGTCCTCTTTTCCCCTCACAGTTTAATAGGCGGCACACAATTGTCCGATATAGTTTTAGTAAGAGTTTTACGGCACTTGCAACACAATAAGGTAATGATTATATAAATACCAAAGATTAGAGGTGTTACAAGAGAGTCACAAACACAAAAAAAGAGGGGGAGAGAGAAAGATGATAGCTTTTCTATAGGAAAAGAAGGAGCAAACCACACCAGAGCACCCGTCAACCACCCACTCACAGTTGTCTCCCATAGTATAATATTTAACACCATTCACATATTATTGAGATACTGTGAAAAAAAATATTATGAAAACGAATTCGTAACGTTATCGGGCATAAGTACATTATGTTATTTAAAAAAACAAAAAACAACGTTATTTCACTTTGAAAAAAAACCACAGAGGAAGAGGCTTTGGGTTTTTAAAAATTGTAATCTTTGTTTTGTTTTTCTGCTGTCGTTTTGTTGTTTGCTTGTTTTGCTTATTTATGCTTTTCTTGGAGAAATGGGAGAGGGGGGGGGAGTGGTCATTAATTATTATATGTAGTTTTATAGCCCCCAGCTCAACCACATATGAGTGACGGTAAGCTCAATGTGCTGTTGTAGGCAACATTAATTCATAGTGAGCACCAGCTGAAAGAACTATTTATTATATCATAAGAATAGGGAAACAAATGGGCAAAACAACAGAGTGTGTCGTGGTAGCATGCATACGTTTCCGCTCTTTTTATGGTAGCGAGTGATAACCAGCTCAGTGGAGCGCCAAATGATAAAAGTAATAATAATAATGATTTTAAAAATAATAATTAGGAGTGATGGTAGTGATGATAGTAATAAATTATTATCATTATAATTATTATTGTT